AAAGAGTGTTGGCTTAAAGTGACCATGATCTGTTGACAAAATGTGTGTAAATTGTTCAGCAATTTGGCTGGGAGGGGATGGGGATTCAGTGGAAGAGGAGTTTCATTTAGTGAACAGATACCCCTCTGGAACAACACAGCTAGACTACGGAGAGTGCCCACAATATCTTCTTCTAGAAAAAAAAAAAAAAAAACTTGCTCTGTATGTGGGTGGCCTCATTAAGGTAAATATACATCTGGGACTAAAGTCTTTTAGAGAGGATCAGAAACAATTAACTGAGGCTTACTGTCCATGTTAGATGGTCTCACTGGAGCCTGAGGAAATTTACCAAAGCGAATGAAGGTGGCATTTTGGTCTAGTGGCCCAAATACAGGAGTTTTTGTAATTTGCCTTTTCATTTAATAGACCACCCAGATTTGTCAGCAAATACGGCATCTGTTTTCTGCATGAGACAGAGACAGGTTGGTAGGTTGACTTGCATAGGTATGTTTGTTACTCATTTAGAAACTTTTTCTTTAGTTGATTTAAAGAGCAGCATTGAAAAATGCCCAAGTGGAGTAAGACAAATGTAGGCCCTGACAAGAAAGTTTGATGCTTAGAGTTTGAAGCTCAAGTAAAGAGGAAACAAAGCAGGAGAAAATTCAGGTGATCGTAAGGTCCCACTGGAAATGCAGAAAATCCCAGGCATTTTGGTTTCTTGAGGCCCAAGTGTATTTATTGGTGTAGATATAGAGAAAAACAGCAGTGTTGTCTTATTTGAGTTTATGTTAAGGATACCTTAACAGTACTGATGAGAAATAAGTATTTTTGGGGGAAAAAAAAAATAGCAGCGCTTAGTCACTTTTTTTTAAAGTCTTAGATAGTTTGCAATGTAGTTAAAATCAGCCTAGTGTAATTATGGTCTCTTTCCTTCCTTTCTGTCCATGCCCAACCCTCACTGCAAACAAACATAGGCTATGATCAGGCTATACTGCCCTAGCTGACCGTTTGTCAAATAAGGCCTGTATTAATGACAGGCTTAAGCCATCTCTTAGCATCACTAATTGTGACATGGATCTAATATTACTGGCCTTAAAATTATGGCTGTGAAAGCTACCGAAGAGGTGGGATGGGCCTTGCAGTTCTGCATGGGCTTGGTGCAGGCACCAGTGGCTATTGCAGTCCTGCCAGGTCCTGAGGCCACCTCAGGTGTTCCCACTTCAGAAGAGCACTCCAGCCCAGGAAGACACTACATCTGAAAATACACTTCTGAAAGCTGAGCCTTGACCTGCCGGAGTTGCGTAGTAACATTCACAAGAGCAGTCCAGAGAATGTACAGCATTAGACTGGCAAAAAGAGCATTTTTTTCCCCTGAGATGTAGGTAAGAATGCAGCATGGCACTATTTCAGCTAGAAGATGTAACAGAACTGTTGTAACTTCTAAAAAGTTTTACCCTTTTTATACTGTGGTTTAAACTTCAGAGTGTGAATAGATTGGAACATTTTGTATTCACAAAGTAGAGGGTATATGGAATTCATTGTGAATATACAAGACTTCTAATAACTGAATACGTGTTTAGTGTGGCAAATCTTGTATTTATTTTAGTTGACTTTGGCTTACAGGGATTCAGATCAATGACATTACACATTAATCTTGGTAACTGCATCTATGTTTTGTTACTGTAACTGGAACTCTTGAAGCAACCTTCTCCTTTTTTTAACTGTATGTATATATGAGTAACTTTTAAAACTAATTTGGGGGGGCGGCTTGTTGGGCTTTGGGTTGTTTGGGTTTTTTTTAATATAGTAATGAAATGTGTTTTTAAAAATGTACTCAATATGCCACAAAATGTATTAAAGGTGAGTGATCTGCCAAACGAATGCCCTGGATCATGTTCACTTTTGTTGAAGATCGGTGTTATTTTGTAGTGATTCTTTCATGCTGGAAGAATGTAAGGTTTACCCTTCATCTTTGGTAAGAGGCATAGTACTGGGGGGTGCAGTTCGTCATTGATGTTTTGCCAAACTGAACGGTTTTTCAGTTGTGCTTTTGGATTTTGCAAGAGTGCCTCCTAAACTATGTACAGACGTTGGTTTGAGGGCTAGGTCTGTTGTGTAGTGTTCGCGTCTGCTTCCTATTAGAAACTTATGCTTTCATGCTTCCCTGGTGTCACATTAATTCAGAATAGTGCCTTTATGTAACTTCTTAAGTCTCAAACTATGCCCTTAATTCCATCTGGCTTGGGACCCAGCTGCAGATGTGGCTAGCAGGTATGTGTGAATTGTCTGAGAAGATGGTATTTTGTCTGCTTTGTGGCATCCAAGATTAAAATAGTAAGACAGGAAGGGAGGGCTAATAGGAGTTTGTCAATCCTCTTGCACTTGTCTAGCACTCCCATATAACTGTGTTGGTATTTCTAATAGCAACAGTCATCAAGTTTTTAACTGCTGTGATGACAGTAGTGCAAACTGCCTTTCACTGTGATTGTGCTCTGTGGTGGCAGGCAGAGCAGCTAGCTAGAAAGGAGAAATTCTCCATCTGGTGAAAATGTCAATTCTGGACAAAAAAAGGAAAAAGCAAAAAGGTTGTTTTGCCAGAGTCGAAATTTTAAACAATATTTTGGTTTTGGTTCTCTTTCTTTTTTTGTTTCAATGATCATCCACCTAAAAAAAAAAGCTAAATCAGGTAGTTTGCTATACCAAGGAGAACCACTTGCCCCACCCCAAATACAAATGCAGCTGAAAAACCAGGATGCCTGTAGCAACTTAAAAGTTGCTGTACTACAGGGTCCTGGGCAAGCTCACATGGCGTTAGTCTCTTGCCAAAGTCTCTCACACTAAATAAGCACACAGACGCTTATATACTTGCAGCTGGTAAGTCATTCATACCTGGCTTCACAGCTGGCATCAACAATTCTAAGATTTCCCGGTGCTGAGTTCACAACGTGAAATATGTCCTGAGATAGCTGCTCCCTGCCACCCATTATATGGCCCTCAAGACTGATGGCCATCACTGGCACCATTGGTTTCCATTGATAATGTCCCAGCGACAATGGGCAGCCCAGCTGAGGGCAGCACCGTGCTGCAGGTTCCCTGGTTGTGGACAACAGGTCATGATGGTTCAGGTTACTTGGCCTCTTCTTGCATTGTGGTGGGGCCTGGCTTAGTCCTGAATGAGAAGGGAATAATCACTGCCTCCTGCAGCCTGAGTTTTCTGTTGTGGTTTCCCAAATGCAAAGCAAGTCTGGCCCTGCTTAGCTTCTGACCATTAAAACTAGAACTCAGGTCACAAGCACCTGCCTCTGAAAGACATGCAGCAGGGGTGTTGGGCACCAGTGTGGAAGATAATATATTGAGGCAGGAGATTCCTCATTCTTTGCTATAACTCTTTCAGCTGGACTATCTGTTCCTTTCCCTTCATTTGCAGCGACTGAACAGCGTATGCTGTCACTGATAGTATAAACCAGCTACCTGCAGGGATTCATACTTTAGTGGGCAGCTTGCCACATATATAGACGTAAGATACAACACTAAAGGCCAGATACTTAATCAAGGAGAGTAATAAAGCAGATTTTATTTGACTTGTATAAATCCACTTTAATTGGCTTTCCTGCTAACACTTTCATTAACATGTAAATTAGCTGTCTTAGAGCTGTTACTTATCTTTGCAGAAAATGTGGGATATGGTCATATAACGTACTCCTTTTTTACTGCTCTTGAAGTTTTATACTGAAATGTGCCCATAAATATTCACTGTATTTTATTTTTTTTAAGAGGAGGATGAAGAGGCTAAGGCTCTCTGTCGTCTTGTAGGGAAACAACTGTCTTGCTTCAGCATTATTCGCTGGCCTTCTACCATGTTAAACTGAATGTAAGAAGCTTAGCACTGGGTTTTATTGGTTTGACCTTTGAAGGCTTTGGGGATTTTTTTTCAAGTGTCTGGCAAACAAGAGAGCAGGTGCTCAGAGAAAGGCAGCATCCTCTCTTACACGATGTCTTGTGTTGAAAATTTGGTAGTGGCAGTGAAACAGGTAGGCATTACAAGTAAGAACGTGGTTGATTCCCAGCTTCCAAGAACTGAGAACAAGCCAATTAATTTTCCAATGGGAAAAAAAAAAACAACTCTGCTTCACCAACTGCTTAAAAACCCTCTTCTTCCTTTAATAATAAAAGATCTCGATGCTTCTCTTAACAAGTTACCATGACAAGTTGCAATCTGTTCATCATTTTTAACTGCCTGCTTTGAACAAATGGCATCTATAGCATACAGTGGTACTGTACAGGCACAGCAAAAGCCTTCGCAGCTGGAGCAGATAAGACATATTTAGCACCACAAATTATGCTTGCCAAAATCTTGAGCTTCTGAGAAGCAGGACTGCTGGCTTGCTAAGAAACAAGAGATGACATCACGATGAAGATCAAGTCTTCTTTGAACTGAGCAGCAACACTTCATGAGCCAGCCCACTGTGGTAAGTGAGTGATCTATAGACTCACCTGAACGGCTTGCCCTATCGGCTCTGGTGGAACACTGGGTAAGTAGAGGGGAGATGCAAAGCAGGCATGCAGGAGTTATTTGCCTGGATTTTCTACAGTGGTTAACAGTGGGGAGGGAGGAAAGTGTGCTTCCCCTGTCTAGGCTGTCATATTCTGAACCATCAAACAGGATCTTTTAAACCTTTATGTTTGCAAGAACCTGCACTGACCAGATAATTGCAGTTGCTTATTAGAACTGCCTCCCAGGTATGCTCCCTGTATGGATGCACTGTGCACCTGAGCAACAGCTTCATTTACAGCAGTGCGCATGCTTCTTAAATTTGTCCTCAGTCTTAGACAAGTTGCCCATGCCTAGTTCCATTTCTTAGCATTCCCAGCTCACGTTCGGGGAATATATTGTTTCTCAGGTCTCAGCACAGCTTTACCACAGCT